GGGGGGGCGGTGTTTCGGGGGAGCCCTCTAGTATTTTAAACCTCATTTGTCAACTTTACTTTGCTGGTACGCTTGGGTTCTTTTTTTGAAATGATGTAAGGAATACATTTAGTGGGACGAAAACGGCAAATTGGCACCCAAACACGTACGCGCGCGCGCATACACACACGCACACACACACAAACGCAGAGAGAGAGAGAGAGACGTTACATTCACACACGCACGCACGCATGCACTCACATACACACACATCCATACATGTACACACACACACACACACACACACACGCACAAACACACATGTGACACACGCACGCACACACACATACCCATGCACACATACATATGCACACACACACACACACACACACACACACACACACACACACACATACACACATAATGAGAGCTTGGCTGACACAGAGATCGAACGAGAGTATATGACAATGAAATCAAAAGGCAATGTCATATAAAATATGTATAAATCTACATTTGAGAATAAAGACTATCAGTGCATGATGGCAGTGTGCCGCCACATGTAAGCCATCTGCCGTGATAGTTTTATAAATATTTGTAACCGGAGCCGACCCGGGCCCTGTGGCTCTGCTACACCGCAGACATTCTTCTGGGAATGCCGGGCGAGATGCCACATGGCTGCCCGCACTATCCGGGGGAACGTCCGCTTATGTCACGGGGTGGAGGAGGTAGCCAGGCACCGCGGATCGTTGGAAAAATAGTAGAAATTTGCCAAAATATAGGGAATAGTATACCAGGGGAGTTAGCCGATAAGAGGTGGTACATTTTGAGACCCACGAGTGCGGCAAAATGTACTCTCTAGCGGACCAACTCCCTGGCATCTTTATCTCTCTATTTGGAGAATTTCTACTCTTTCCAGCCGCCTCCCGAAGCCTGGTAGAGTATGGACTATGGAGGTACGATTTGTCTATGTTTCCCTAAAGCATTATTTTCACGATGTGCGAAAACTATCGGCCTGTCATAGGCACATATCAATTATGTCGTCGCAAAATTCAGTCGTCACACGAAAAATGATGGAAATGATCAACTGATTACAACGTTGCTATCTTGAAAAAATGAGGGTTAGAGTCATAGATTGGGGAAGTCATGTATTGTTGTAATGGGGAACATGGGCAAGGGATATTAAAAGTTAAAAGACAAACGATCTGGAATGTAGATCACATGAACGTATATTGCGGAAGAAAAAGAGTTATCGTCTGTGTTTAGGTCGTTTGGTCCCATAGCTTGTGACAGTGTTTGCGTATTTTGTCTAGCTCCTTTTGAACAAAGTTTCTACAAAACAACCCTCTTCTCCAAAAAGCATTGTCCCTACGATAACCTTGTACCGTCGTCAAGGTCAAAATCAACGTAAAGATGAACGGTAGAATAAATGATGAGAATATTTATGATAAAGGTCATATCATGGTATTTCATTACAAAATAAATTGGGTTGGGACCTTTTGGCATTTTCACCATTGCCTTTTTCAAGCAAGCCCAATCTTATATCAGCTCTAACTATGATGTGAGAATAATGTATATTGCATTAACATAGATGCGCCGTGCGAAATTATAGAAGTTTGCATTTGGAGCTCCCATTCAAGATATGCAGTGTAGACAACTAGAAAGGCTAATATTTTCTTGCAAGCAAATACAGCATATTTCACTCCATCTCCCTCCAAAAAATGCATTTTGAGGGATACTCTCAGTAAAGGAACTATAACATTACGTTTTGCGTACCCTTTTTGGACATACTGGTTGAATAACAACATGATCAAGTCATGTTCCACAAGAAGCATTTGTTCATCATAAATGTTCGTTTCATTTGTAGAGATACAGCCTACAGGACCCTGGTGTGCATTACACTGATAGGTGCATAGCAAACCGAAGTCCACCTCACGACCCCCCCCCCTGCCTTAGTAAAGTGTTTCTGAGAGCTTGATGGACGCTGTTGTGTGTTGATAACGCCATGTATGTGTACCTAACTGTCAACTATAGCTCAACATGTCAGCTTCAAGTATTTTAAAAAGCTGGCTACAACATATGCCCCAAACGACGTTCAGCTATAATTAGAAAAAGTTCCAACTTTAGGGTGATGACCAAAAAAAAAGGTCATTTCTTTACAAAGTAAGTTGGATCATTGCAAATAAGTGTCATTCAAATCCATCTAAAAAGAAGTGAAGATGCCAAAATATGACCTTACAAGTGCAACACTGCTGTCAGCCATGTTTGTTTACATTCTGATAGTTTGTGGTGACACCACAAAATAAGAGCGCTTCATGTGGGGTGTTTTAGCGTCAACAATAGACGTCGGAAAAATGAGATAATTGCACAACTATGTTGAAAATTGATAGTAAATTACCATATTTATATTACCATATATACACGAATATTTTTAAATAAAATATTTAATTTCTTTTTTCGTGCAAAATGTTACACAGTGCCCCTTTAAAAGGCCGCCAATGTTGAGAATTCATCAAATTTGGAGGGTCTGTATTTCGTGTACATCTGCCGGATACGCTTTTCGTTCCGTACTCCTGATTTAGTTCGGAGCTATGCAAACAATTTCAGTAGCATATCTTGCCAGAATTTTATCAGAGCCTTCGTGGAAAAGTTTTGCTTTTAGGGTGCTTTAATTGAACACAGCGATTAACACTTAACACATGATAGAAGTATACATCAATTTCTTGAGTTTTCATACTTAGTGTGCGTAAGTTAGCGTAATAGAAACACTCTTTCTGTAGTTATCGAAACTTAGCTTGAAATGTGAAGCTAGCCCCCAAAAGGTCCTGATTCACTCACGAGTTAGCCAGAGTGTTAGGTTACAATTTTACAGACAAAATTGCCCCCCACCCCCTCCCAGTAACCTCCTGACTCTGTGTACATACATCTAGTCTGACCTTGACTCGTAAATAAATCCAGACTGCAACAACTTGTTCTGACCCCGGATTATCCGGATAAAGACGTTTCACGACTAGGCGATCATCTCCCTGTTAATCCGTCAACAAATCCTCTTATCATTTTATTATTAGCAGTGTTATGATATATTTTAGCGGTCAAAATTCGCATAAAAGTCAAGAATCTGTTGGAGGGCAAACTGATTCGAAGGCGTGTATGCAATGCGGCGAATTCGGTGCTATGTTCTAGTTTGGCATGTCGGGTCAGCCGTGGAGTCAGGAGGTTCAGTAAACAGTCTATTATCTGTCAATCATCTGGGAAAACATTTCCACTATCAGTTGCGCGGGAAAATGTTAACAGTGCGCTGCAGTGTGATTGAAGCCAGACTTTTTAGGGAGCCGTGGAGACGGTCCAATGTTTAGGGCAAGGGGTTCACTGGTAAACTTGCACTTGAAGGCGCCGCAGACTATTTCTTAAAGACGTCCAATGCATTTTCAGTGTGACAAAACAAAACAAAACAAAACATTCTAGATGAGGAAATCTGTTTGAGAATTGAGATTTTTCTGCACATTTTTGTAATGAATTTTTATACCAGGACCGGAGGAAACTTCTCAAAGGAACAAGAAGGGATCACCTCAGAACACGAATATTGTTTCCTAAAGTAATCTTGTCATATTACCTCACTGTCAGCCTTAATAGATATCGTTAGGTGTAAATTAAAGATTCTTGCAATAAAAAAAAACTACAAAAACAATTCGTCTTGCAATAACGATAGATAAATCTGAACAGTAAAATTACAAATTGCCATCCCCTATAAAGGCTATATAGCATACTATGCGCCCCTCCCCTTCAAATAGTACAAATGTTACAATTTCTTTCACATTACCTCACATGACTCCATAGCTTCAGTTAGTCGTCCCATCTTCCTCTGCGCCATGGCTATGTTCAGGCTGCACACAGTCTCCATTTTCCAGCTCCATCTTGCCCCATAATCCCCTAAAATCTCTCGCGCCTTTCCGTAAAAGTACTGACTCCTCTCGTAGTCTCTCAACTGGTAGAACAGTCCGCCAACACTCAGGAAAGTCCGGCACTCTAAAACTCTGTCATCGTAGGTCTGTGAGTAGGACAGCGCGTTTTCGAAGTGTTCCAACGCGGTGCAAAACTCGCTCAGCCCCAAGTGGGCATTCCCCATACAATGGTAAAACCGTCCAAATGTGTGTTTCCTTCTCCTACCCACAAAGGCGTTGTTGAGACTATGTTTGCAGTAGGCTATGGCCTTTTCGTACTCGCATAGCCTTTCGTTGCTACGTGCTATGTTCAGATATGCCTCTTCTCGTAACTCGTCTGCGTCCATAGAATTCGCCACGTCTATTTGCTGTATCGAAGCCTTCAGCATCTCCCTGTATTTTCCCACCTCGTCCCAGGCTGACGCGAGGTAGCCCAGCGTTCGGAATTTCAAGCGGGGTTCTGTGATTTTGGGGAGAGTTTTGGTCCATTTGGTGATGGCGGCGTCGATGTTGTGAGCGTCGTACAGCTTCAACCCTTCCTCCACGTGTTGTTTCACCGCGCGCTGACCCATGACTGGCCCGCTCGTAGAAAAGCCTCCTCGCGCCACCGATCTCTGGGAAACTTTTACCGGTTCCTCTTTCTGGTGGCTCTGGCCGTGACTATGCACTCCTCGCGGTCTCTGGCGCTTGCATTGTGTCGTCTGCGCTGGCGAGAAAGACAAAACTTTAGCTGCTTGGCGACTGGGAAATTCTCAAACCGTGGGACACCACACAGAATTTGGGCAACGGCGTTTCCTCGTACCCAGGAACCGGATATGGTAAAATTTGGCACCCCGCGATCAAATTCTCATCAGCAAATACTGCCTGTCAACACCAGCAATATAAGACCGACCCTACAGGGTTAAATACTGCCCGGGTTTACAGGCAGTTTTTTAGGGGGTGCCAAAAACTGCCAACCGCCTCCCGAGCGCTCAGTCACGCCGCGTCTGCACAGGACAGCCGCTCGGAGCTGGAGTGATAAATGTGCACCATCTGAAGCTCATCTGATGCGGGGAAATAATTTGGCAGCCGCGGCTAAATTTCCCCGCGGACGGCCCGTGCCGAGAGATCTGTCGTCGCCAGAATCCCGGCGCATTACTACCGCAGAAATTCCTTCCCCTTTTCGCTGGGTTCAGAGCTTTAGGGGGAGGAACATGGCGCCCTGGTTGATGATGAAGCGTCTGTCTTTGTAGCGTGCGGCGACCCCTCTGACCGACTTCCAGCCTCGGAAGCCTTTCTCCAGCTGTATCCTGTATTATTGTGATCTCGCGTTGCCAAACTCCCGTGCCAAATGCCCGTAAGGCACACAAACTCGAGCACCAGCTAGTGGCAAACCCCTTGTAAACAAACCGGCATGTCTCCGGACCTCTTTAGTCCCCGTCCGCCATCTTGCTGACCTTGAACGCCATAAGGCCGCGCGACATTTCTCGACTGTCCGTCTCTTGAGGAATGACAGCGCGATGTGTCTGGGGCGGCCTCGGGCGTGCGGAGCCTCTGGAGCCGGGACCCTGGGAGCAGCGGCGCCTGGAATGCCGCCAGAAACGCGCGGAAAGACCGCTTTGCTGACTGGAGGGGACGGGAGCCATCTGGAAGAAGAGACGTGGGGGTAAACAAACATGGCATTCCCGCGGGTCGCTCACTAAATGCGGTAAACCGCGACGGCCATGCACGAGGAAAGTTGCCATAGTGCGCCTGTAGCCCTGTATAGTCTCTACCAGACTTCTTGGGATGTTGGAAAAATTGTGGCCATTGACCATAGACTGGGGTGTCCGGAGATAGCTGACCATGCACAGGCAACATGATTTTGGCCAATTTCTATCATTTTTTCCCCAGTATTTCAACGAGTCTGGTAGGAACTCCATTGGAAATTCTATTCTTCTAAATCGCCTGCTCCTATTGTTGCTAGGTACAAGCTACAGATCATCTTACATGTAGGTCATGGTATTAATAGAGCGGCCCCCTTCTGTCATAGCAAAAACCTCCTTGGTCATACTCATAGGCAATTGTGGTGGCATCTTCAGTTTTGAGTTGTTGGGTATATTCCCAAAAAGGGAAATAACATTTAACTCCTAGCATTAGACGCTAGCAGTAGTTTCCGAGTTCACTATGTTCATGCATCACTGTTTTCTGAGCGACTTCCAAGCGACCACTTGTGACTCGTCCCATGTGTTGTTCCTTGCAGACGTCGTTTGCTGTGAAACTGTGCCCACTAGCGATCATGAGAAGAACTGCAACACGTTACGGGCAGTCCAGCTGCTGTCCTGTCACCAGAATCTTCTGTTATAATCTTCACCGAGAAGGATATGTTTGTTTTGGGGTAAGATTATCTTTTTTCTCCTTTCTATGTACTGCTCAGCTGAAGACACCTACCTAAGGCCATGTTGATTTGATCATATGGATGACATCCTCTGGGAACCCCAAAACTGATGCGAGCGCGCGAATAAAAAAAGTGTTGCAAAAAAAAAGTTTCCTTCATTATGAAATCTACGTGGTCATGAAGGTTGACACATAAATAATGCACATAAAGAATGGACCCTTAATTTTCATTCCTTCACATTTTCTTCTTTTTCTGAATTGATTTTGGCATTATATGACATTAGTATCGTTTTCTCAAATGCAGAAATCCGGTCAAGACTTGGGGCGGAACAAACCATCACTGACAGGATACGCACTAGAAGGCTCAGATGGTTTGGGCACGTGATGCGTAGACCGACAAACACCCTAGTTTATAAGGCGTACCATCAGGACTTCCAAAACCCTAGACCCCGGGGAAGACCACCCAAGAGGTGGAAAGATCAGATCCAGAGTGACACAGGGATCACTCTAAGTGTAGCTGAGGCTATCGCTCTTGACAGAACTGGTTGGAGGAACCTGACGGAGGGGAGCAAGGGGCCAGTACCTGGCCTGGGCACTTAGGCAGGTAGGCAGGCAGGCAGTATCGTTTTCCAATACTTTATTTTTTTGCAACATAGGACACATTCGCTCATTTTGTACGATTTACAGTATTGTCGAAAATTTTTCAAGTTTTTTTTATAAACGGACGCGCACGTGGACTTTTATCATCATAGATTCGTGATAGTTCCAGAACTGTTATAATATTTACCACAAAGACTCACTCAGTTGTTATTAAAATGTAATATTCTGATCAAAGAGTAATTATGGATGTTCCTTTGTGTATACATGTACCTTCAAGGCTAAGCTTTTAAGCCATGATAATAGTGACAGCACGGTTGGAAAGATAACTATGAAAATGTTGCCTGTGCGTGGCAATATGTCGTTTCATGTTATTTCCTCTCAGTTGATTCTTTCAAATCATCTACATGTGGTGAAAATATGGCGAATTATTGGTAATATTGCTGCGAAAGACAAACCCAGATTTTGCACCGTTTTCGCTAGATATTTGGTCGACTTTACATCCGAATTTTGCCCGTTGCAGTCGGTATCTACTTCGACGTAACATTTGGAAATAGAGACGGGATGTTATCCTTAAATAAAGTGCAATATGCACAACACATTACGGGTTTCTCGCAGACACACTACGTTCTGAAGGAGTACTAAGAATATATATTTATAAATAAAGCATCTCCCAATGTGGTAAATAAAAAGTAGAGTAGGTCTGTTCCACGTTATAAAATTGCAAAGACGCTGAAGTTTGTCCTTGAAAAGCACACGCCCTGTTTGGGCAATTATTCGCTCCGACTATCAGGCACAATATCCTTTGACAGTACAACGATTTGTCAGTGAAAACTGAAGCGATGTAGGACGCCTTTCCATGACGAAGTGGCAAACTGAGCCCTGAAAAAGTGTCAAACATGTTGATCGCCCAGTTTCTCCGAGTAGTGGCGGTGTCTGTGTTCCTGGTGCTAATCGGAAAATCACAAGAACAGGGTGGGTTATATTAAGCGCTTATCTATACGTATTATATAGGCGTTTTTGTACATCGTATATGTTAATTGCGATGATACAAATGCTGCTAGAAATGGCACCGTTAGCTTTGACAAGAAGATTGATATATTTTAATGAGCATGTGTGTGTGTGAGAGTGTGTGAGTGGTTGTGTGTGTGTGTGTGTGTGAGTGTGTGTGTGTGTGTGTGTGTGTGTGAGTGTGTGTGAGTGTGTGTGTGTGTGTGATCGTGTATGTGTGTGTGAGAGAGAGTGTGTGTGTGTGTGTGTGTGTGTGTGTGTGTGTGTGTGTGTGTGTGTGTGTACATGTGTGTGTGTGTGTGTGTGTGTTACATCATATTTTCCTTTAATCTACTACTTATAAAGACACTCATTTAGGACATACTAGTATATATGTAGTGCCTTACAAAAGAAAGTATTGTAACAGATAGTAACCACGTCAATACACTATTTGCGTTCATATTCCTGTAGTAATAGTTACTTAGAATAGACTTACTGTACTGATCACATTGTTATTGATCACATTGTTGCCATACATTGTACCATGTACAACTGTCGAGCAATAAAGTTCATTCATTCATTTCGTATCTACATAATCTGTGTTCTGTAGAACTGAACGATATAGATCTAGTGCGATTCCTTACATGATTCAGATGCTGAATTCCTAGCTGACTCTGGCAGATTCGTACTTGCTGCCATTTACTTCAGAGTACGCCTTATATGCTAGATACCTAAATAATTTAGATTGGTGTAAATACTTTTATCTACGTGCTTTTATCTAATAATACATCCACTATTCAACGCCTAATGTTTTATACTTATATAGATCTATGTAACGCTTTTAATCTACTCTAGTACCTACGCAAATTTTATCAACGAATGTAGATTTATGCAATGTTTCAAACCTATTTCGACACCAACCATTTTAATCTTAATATTTTACTTACTTATGCTGTTGTGATGTAGTAGTTAGTAATATTGTTAACAGTCCATGTATTTCAGCAATGGCTGCAAAGTGGAGTCTGTGCTTATAAAGTAAATAAACCATTATTATTATTATAATCACAGGTGACGATGTAGACTGTCTGGTGGACCCTACCTTAAGGGTGGATTGCGGCTATTCAGGAATTTCTGCAGACGAATGTCTTCAGCGAGAATGCTGCTTTGATAGTTCACTTCAAAACGCAAACTGGTGTTTCTACAAGATAGGTAGGCCACATTTTTATAGTCCTAGTTCAGCTGTAAATGTCTGTATGTTCCTATCACAGTTATCTAAGGTCTGTGGCATAGCAGCAGAGTGCTCGGTCCCGGGTTTGAGTCCTGACATGCCACTGGTCTTGTGCCCTTGGGAAAGGCACTTTACACGACTTTCCTCACGACTTCGCTCAGGTGAAAATGAGTATTGTATTGTCCCCTGTGTTGGTGGCGGCATAGTTGAAAAAAACTTGAGTGTGCCGCCACCATGTCTTGTGATTGCATGTTGGAATCTCTCTCTCTCATC